TTAGAAAATGATATGAAGAAGTTCATTCACTCCAGACCAATATTTTAAATCACCAGGTAAAAATACATATTAGCAATGTTTATATTAATGTTGCTGTGAGAGCAATTCTGGCCAATTCAATAAATATCTCACTCTTTTTGGTTTATATCATAATGATCAATTTTATCCCATTTTGTGAGAATTCAGCTCCTGATTTCAACTCAGGTTATAAAGCTTCTGTACCCAGTGGTATAAAGTGAAATTTTCCCTCTGAGACGCATAAAACCCAAGTTGGAATCCCTTGAGCTCGCTATGAAATGCAAATAAACCTGAGGCCCATAGAGTGATGAGGCTCTGGTGACAACCCTTGCCACAGTGCTCTTTCTAAGATGCCACTCAAGCAAGGGACAAGGGCGATTAGTACGTGTGAGAGTGGGTCTCATTCAGTATCTACCCTGTTGGGGCCAGGAATCTGTAAGCTCAAGTAAGTTCCTGGCCTCAGTTGTAAGTTTTAGCTCTTTAAAGTTTGTCCAGGTCCAGGTTCCTGCTATGAAACATAAGATGCAAAATTCAAAGAGAGGAAACTTGGGCAATTATATCTATTTCTGTAGGATGGAAGAATGCTCCAAGTGACCCCTGGTGTCGACGCCCTGAATTGGCTTCCTTGGGGACACAACTTCCGGAATCAGAAAGACTGAGTGGGTTTGAGTGGGTGCAGGGTGCCCAAGGGGGAATGGAAGAAACCTCGCCCAAAAGGTACATCATCTCCTTGATCACTTCATGTCCCATCTTTGCTATGAATTCCTTCCCTTCTGCACTCCTCCCATCAGTGCTGCAGGCTCTCTGCTAACCTGGCAGAAAAGGATTTTCCATGTGGGAGATGAGCTCATTGTGTTTGCAGGTGATGGAGGAAGAACAGGGAGTGCTTTGGAATAGACTTCAGGCACTGTACCAAATCCTAGAAATACCGATGGATGAGCCAGATAATGTTGGTTTTTCAAAGATTTCATCTGGAGATAGAGTGATGATGACACAGAAAATATGTAATGATGGGGCTCTGGGGACCTGAATCTTTGTGTGGGGGGTTCAGGGATGAGGTCCAGGACAGGGCCCTAGAGATTGCAATTGGGAGGCAGTGGCATGGTGGGTCACAACTGTTCTGGTGTAAAGTGTACCCCGGGTGTCCACACTGTCAGTGGGGTCTCATCTTTCACAAAATGTGACCTTCTGACCATGTGGGTCAGCATTAGGAAAGAGAATCTGGCTGAAGCTGATGGCTTCTTATCAGTGATGGCAAACCTTTTCAAGCTTTCAGTGATAACAAACAGCCAGCTGTGGCATGCATGCCAAAGATTCACCAGCACTGCAACTTGACCCCTGACATCTGGTTCAATACTACCTTCTCCCTGGATCCAGAAAACCAGCCACATTTTAATTCTTCCTAGAAAAATACTATGCTAATTTACACATTTCCTTCCTTGGCGCTCCTTTCCCTGCCCTGTATTCTTATCCTGTGAGACAGTTTCTCAAAGTATGTTTTGCAGAGTACCAGCATGAAAATCAATCACTTCTGAGACACTTGTTAAATATTCAGCTTGAGAATTATTGCTCAAGAACTGCACATATCAACACTGACTGTACATGAGAATCACAGAGGATAAAAGAAATTTGAGCTCCCACTCTCTGGGCCCCACCCCCAGAGATTCTGATGCAATTGGTCTGGGTTAGTTCTGGCATCGGAATGATAAAGGCAAATGGGCAGTCAGGGTTGAGGACACCTAAGTTAGAGAAGGCCTTCGAGATGAACAAATGTGGGTTCAGAGGAGGGTCGGCAAGAGGAGACCACCTGAGGCCAGCTTTCTACTCAGGAGGAAGATGAAGAGGGTATGGCATGGTCTCTGAGCCTGGATTCTATTCCTCTGCACCTTTGGAGGGCCATCCTCTCTCCTGGATTCACTCTTCTAGCAAGAGGATTCTCAAAGTTCAGCATGTGTGCATGAATGTCACCTAACGGGATTTTAGTAATCTGCAGATTTCTTGGATTTTATCCCAGAAATTCTGAGTAGCTCTGGGGTGAGACTAGAATATATATTTTATCAGTTAGTATATTTAGTGATTATTATACTGGATTTTGATCAAGGTGGCTGAGGAATCATGCTTTGAGGAAATACCACCTAGTCCAGGCCTTCACCAAAGGTACAATCTGGAGTCTTAGGAATGTTCTGTATCTTCTACCTAGTGCCTGACCTTTGGTAGTTATTAAACTCCCTGTGCCTTAATTTCCACATCTGTAAAATAGAAGAAATAAAAGGAATTAGTTTTTAGAGTTTGTGAAGATTTGAAAGAAGTTAATATATACAGAGGCCATTTTAATGACTTAAGGTAAACAGGTGACAGAGCTGGTAGCTTTGGAAATATGTCTTTGTTTCTAGTGGGCTCTAGGGCAGTAGCCCAGTTGTTTCATGTCTTCCTTCCTTGCTCCTCCTCCTTATTCACTTAAGGCTCCTTCCAACATTGTTAGAAGCTACATCCATGTGATTTGTTGTGAAGAAAGACTTGTAAATACTGCAATGATCCTTAATAAAGAATTTCCTGCAGTGGATATAGATATTTACCATGTGACGCTTGAACAATGAAAACATGTTATTAAATCTCATTAGATTCTATTAGTTATTTCCAATCTGCTGGTGAAAACTCCATGCTTTTAAAGCTAGATCTGTTATGACACCCAGTGGCCAAAATGTGAACCATTGAAATTTTAAAACATAAGTATTTTCCTCAGCTTATAAATACTATGTTATGTACTTTACGTTTTGACAGCAATCAGTAACAAAGCATGAAATGGTTATATATCAGAAATAACACTGTGAAATCCAGACAAACTACAAGTGCTATTTTCAGTAGTAAAACTTTCCCATCCAGTTCAGGCCAACAAGGGACTTCAGGTTATCAAAGGGGTCATATTCATAAACAAACCTTTTAGACATAGAGAAAGTGATTTTATCAGTAGATAGTAAATAAACAACAGATGAGACCCAGGAAAGTGTATCAAAGACTTTACAATAGTCACACGTGGTCCTCTACATAATTAGGAAATAATTAATGTGTTTAGCAATTCAGGTAACAGTGATGACTTTCCCTAGTACCCATCCCACAATGGTAGAGGGTATTTTGCATGTTCATTCACTTACTGAATATCAAAAAATACTTTTTGGTGCCCTGGGTTGAGGAGCAGACTTTGAGAGGGAGATTATGTTCAAGAAGTTTTCGAAAGTGTGCTGTTGGGATCACATTTGCAGAAGGGACAGCAAGGACGGGTAGGGAGAGGGAAGAGGTGGCTCCTAAGCACCCCCAATGAGTCATCAGCTAACCTCACTGAGAGATATGAAGCTGGCCTGGCTTCTCAGTGTTGCCCCTTGCTGGGACAAGTGGGCAGACTTTTATCCTCTGTGACCATTCAGTCATCCGAACGGGCTTTGTCCTTGAGAACGGGCATTTCCTGGGTGCTGACAGCTGAGGCTTATCTCCTGACAGCCCCCCCAGCAGTTGAGGAGATAAATCCTCCAGTCCCAAGGGTGATGTGCATGCCCATCAAAACATCCACGACACTGAAGCAACTGTCCACAACAAAACAGATAGGCTTTCTGATCTTTTGTAATTAAAAGATACATATTAAGCAAATGGATACTCCAATAAACACCTAGAGTGTGCGAGCAGAGTGGAATTTGGGAGAATAATAGGCAGGCATTGGAGGAGGAGAGGACCAGTGCTCTGCTCTTCCAGTTGCACCATCAGGGTAGAGGGGGGGAAAGACACCTGAGAGGAAGGTGACATTCACACTGGGAAGTGTTTAGCTTATTCTGTGTGCAGTTTGAAGCTACTCTAAGTTTACAAAGGGAACTGAAAACACAAAGTAGACAATTAAATGGTCACAGAGGCCCAGAGGAGGTGAACTTTCTGGGCCACCATATCACCGTCCCCAGCGCTGAGGAGCAGAGCTGCCCCCAGGGCCAAGGAGGTGAGCTGTGCGGGCTCCAGAAGCACACCCCCCCCATTGAAATAAGAAGATGCATAAACAAGTCCAAAACCAGACTCCTAGATCACCTACAGCAATACCAAAGGGAAATGAGATGGAACAATCTGATACTCAACCACCTGGACTCCCTGAACTGGCAATGAAAGAGGATCTGGAAAAAATGAAATCAGAAATAATTTCTCAGATAACAGCAGAGATTGTGCCCATAGTGCAAGA